AACTAAATCTAGGAGAACTCAGTATGATGCAGTTATCGTAAGAAGGCTCTGGTGGCTAAATATTATGCCTTCTCATATGTAATAAAAGAAATAACTCAAAATAGTGCATTTTGGAAATAGAAAGTATCACTCACCTACATGACATAAATATAAACAGACTGCATGTAGAAGCACAGAAGAACAGTCTGACTCCAGGAAGTGTTTCTCTGGCTGTTTTTAGTCCTGGACATTAAATATTTAAAGGGACCAATCACAGGCTTTAATTGAATCTGAGGCCCCTCCCCCTGGGATCCGATCACAACCAATTAGAGGCAGATGAGGCTGACAGTAATGGGCGCTATCTTTGAGTCCCTCGGGAGACACGGGGGATGGCGATGTGCGTGTGTGATAAGGAACAGAATAACATGCACAACTCACCTACTCCATATGAGCACAGATGTGGATATGGATGCATATACGATACAGCTATAATCGTATTTACATAGTGTTTGTTTGGAAGAGGAGAGAGAAAGGGAGAGAGAGAGTGAGAGAGAGAGAGAGAGATGGAGAGAGAGAGGCAGAGAGAGATAGTGAGAGAGAAAGTGAGAGAGAGAGACCAGGGACATGCAAATCCGAGTTAACCTAATTATTGTGTTGGTCCCCTGTGTGTTCTCATTAGAAGTCAGTGCCAGCAGGGACTACAGGGAGACAGACAGATTCAGTGAGAGAGATAGAGATTTAATAAGGCACATTGAGCTCCAAATGAATGGAAAGCTAAAGGGAGAAGAGAGAGAGATGCCGAGTGCTACAGGACGACAGTAGACAGCTTGTTGAAAAGTGTATGAGCCGTAAACTCCCATAGTGACTCATGATCGGGATTCGCTCCAACTTGCTACACATGCATCGGGTTGTTTCTATATTTATATTCATACAGTTATGGAAGTACAGTTATATCACAGTAATGAAATGCAATATTGCCAATCATCTTTTAGCAAATTGAACAAGAAATCATCCGTATGCCATAAGATTTAACCAGTACATGCAAGCACTCATTGGCTGATAGGTCTACAGCTGTTGGTCACACTTGACAATCAGAGAAAGTAGCTATTCCAACATTATGTGGACTGCAATATTAAGCATGAGCTGTTTTCTCCTTCTTCCAAAGCATGAGCCTTACAAATCGACCAAAGAATCAAATTTCCATTACACTTTGCTTTGCTACATGTTGCTTCCAATACAGTGACTGCATTACTGTTGTTGCATCCAGGGCCAAATTAACCTAGGACTGAACTTTGGACCAAGAGTGAGCCTCAGGGCACAACACGGCTCAGTCAATCCTTCATGGTATATTGCTCCGATGATTTATACAGATTATTGACACTATTGGGAATGCATTGCCTTTCATGTTAAAATCTGACCACATATACCATCCATGACTGTAATGGTAAAATCCTCAAATGCATTAAACATATGTTATGAGCATTAAAAGAGGATGTACAGATTACAGAATTAGATTTAGACCCAACAGAGCAGTAAAAACTCCTGAATATCACTTTCTCAATTGTAGGTTTTTGTTAACTGAGATAAACTATTGCCTGGCATATAATAAACTAAAAAATATTTGGAGTATCTGATAGGATTCTTAACAGTTTAATTATATTTCTATACAGATGGAGAGGATGTAAAGCCAAGTTTAAGTTAAAATGGCTAGAAGAATTGTACAGTGTGCATACTTACTGTTCAGATAATGTCTCAAGTCCCTTTCAGTGATGTGGAGCAGTGGCTCTACCCTGACTTCTTCCCGGCCCCTACCAGTGTTCAACAGGCACATGTTAGTGGAGCCAGCTACTTACTCATGCCAACTATTCCAATTATTCAAGGGTTAGACAGTATCCCAGGTCCTCCACCTGTTTCTATGGTAATGTGGCTTGGAGAACTATAGACCACTTATTGTCCAGCATGTTATTTGAGTTCAGGTAAAGTTTGCTATCTGGTGCTGATAAAAAGTAAACTACACTATAATAATCAAAATAATAACATAAATATTTGCTTAAACAAAATCCTTGGATAGCAGGGTGGGATAGAGTACTTTGAGATGCTTAGGAATGCCATTGCCTTTTTATTCTGGAGAACAGTGGCACACCTACACCCTTATGCAAACTCATGTATGTGAATCTATCTTGGCAGGACTCTCCATAACTGTGCACATCACTGCTGTCATTTTGATAGGCAGGCGTGGATATATGTGTGGTATTTTGAGAAATTTCCGAAGAAAAAAAAAAAGAAAGAATAATCCTAGGAAATCTTTAGGAGGCGAAAACTGTAAAGTTGAGCGTTGGTGAAAAGTTGAATGATCGGACTAGGAACACCACGGCTTAATACAACAACAGCATCTATAATACATCGGCAATATGCTACGAAGACTTTTCAAAGCACCGGATAAACAAACTATTGCACTTTTCAACTTGTAGAGCTATTTTTACCCATCAGCTAGTCAATTCTACTGTATAATAACACTCATATTTAGCATCCTAAGTGAGATAGCAATCTTAGGAGTCCTGAGGCGTCCTTCCTGTCTCTTCTAATTGGTCCTACATTAGGCGAAAACATCCATTCTTATCAAATCACAAGCCGATGATCATCTCACTTCAGGACAGTAAATAGGTTTATCATTGAGTATGTATGTTGTGGATCACTGGTGATGTGGTATGGAGGAAAATAGACCGGGCAACTATCAGTGCTATGGCAGCGGTAAGTAAATGTATAATGGAGGGAGTAATTTGCTTCCAGGGGGAATGCTGACGAGAATAGTGCAAAAGTGGTGCCTCGTGCTGCGACCCTAGATAACATTAGGACACTTATTTTTAACCCGTGTCTAACTATCTTATCTTTTCACAGCCAAAGATCTTTTAAGATTTGAGGTTTACAGTACAGTATGTGCTAGAAATGTGGGAGAGGAGGTGAATGTGACATGTACAAATACTTTGGACCTGTAATATTACTTAATTTGTTAAAGGTCCTTTATTATGCAAAATTGGCTCCTGTGGGCTTTAAGACATGTTACAACATTGTCCACAAAAAAACATACCTCAAGTTGTCTTTTGTTTCATTCACACATGATTGAGTAACCCTCTGTTATAAGTCTGTCTACATCTCTAAATCTTTGTTCCACCTTGTGATGTCATGAAGTGGTATTTTTCAAGTTAACAGCTGCCTTTTTACTTTTTGTGATGAAGAGATTGACAATTATGTGGCTGAAATTATTCTAGTGAAGGTTGTATGGCATTTAGAAAACATAACATCACAAGGTAGAACAGAGTGTTTTCTGTCGGAGAGAAGAATTCAGCCTAAATATACAGGGTTTGTGTGTTAAACATGTGTGAATGAAACAAAACACAACTCCTGGTCTGTTTGAGATGAGGAAACAACATTATAACATGGATCAGAAAAGAGTGTAGTATAGGCTCTTTAAACTACCAAACCACTATCATTGTGGTTACTTGTACATACCGCGGGCAGCAGTGGCTTGGGCATACAGTTGTTTTGTTTGATAGTATGCATATTATGTTTTAGGCTGACAGAGGCAGAATAGTTAATCCATGTGCTGTTATGTAAAAATCGAGACAGAACAAATATTTGTTGAGTGACACTTAGCCTCTTTGTCTCATCTAGATCATTTTTTGTGATTGCTTTTTGCTGACATCTGCTGAACACTGACCTCTTTATCTACAACCTTGACAGGTCCAAAACAGAAGTGAGCACTTTGAGTGAGCAGGCTAGCCATTTAGCAAAGATGATCAAAGATAATCACACAAAGAGTACTTCTAACAGATCACGCCATGAGCTGCCAAATCACTGATAGGCACCGTATGACAACTTAAGAGCACAGAGATCTAATCATTCTCCATTTTAATACAATTTACTATGCTAAAATATATCCATTATCAGTTTCAAATGTATGCTGGTTTTGGTAATATGTGTCTAGATGATGTATGGCCAATCAGGAAACAGTCCTAAAAAGATTAAAGTGAAATTAATATTTTTGCACTCTTTTACATTTCACACAGTGCAATATAAAACTTTTAATAAGGCTTCTCAAATTATTTGCCAAGCTTCTTTAGTTTTGTTTTAATAAAATGTTAAGTACCCTCAACATTACATTAAAAATAATGATAATTGCCTGATGATGACTGGAGAGCATGAGCCATCAGGACGTATTAATAAAAAGGAGCCCTGGGTAATGTCATTATCTGTGTTGTGTTTATGCTGCTAATGATACTGAACTGAGAAAAACTGTTCCAATTCAACCCAGATGTTAAAAGGTTTTGTTATAAAGACTTATGTACCTGTCTCAATTAAACACTATAGCACTACTGTGTGCTGTAATGTGCTCTAATAGTTGTAGTTATGCAATCTCTTATTTACATATTTCCGCACACTCAATATTTTGTTAACTTTTACTTAATTCCAATCTATTGTGAGTTAAAAACAGAACTTGAAGTGGATCATTCATTTTGTACCAAAATAAAATAAGCCTCTGAATGTATCAAAATCTGCATAAACAAAATGGTTCAGGGAATAGCTACCTATCTCCAAGTGTATATTGTCAGTGAGGATGTTAGCTGTTCTATTCAAATGAGGACTGAGCCGGCTGCAGCAGATACAAGGCACAGCTCACCAGATAGGATACTGGACCATGTTATGCTCTGCTCGCATGGAAAACATCCAACACCCCATGGAGTCAGTCAGGAAGGAATCACCCTGAAGCAAAAAAACAAAATAATAGACTCACTTCTGTTTCCCCACACATTTATGCCCAATAAGAAGAATGAAGCCAGTAAACATGATATGCGCCAGAGTAAACATTGTGCCGAGAATCAGAATGACAAAGGTATGTGGACACACAGAGCACATTGCAAAATGTATATGTGTAAACAAAAATGTCTGTAAAAACAAATAGTTTATGTTTATGGAGAAAGGCCTGTGTTTAAGTCCAGTTTCACTATGTTACTTTTCTGGGGGAGTCTGTCACCTGCTTATCTCCATGGAAGTGTTTTTACTTTGTGTGAGATGATGTACCATATGGCATTAAACGTATTTACGTTCATTCTTCAAGCAGATGATGCCAGTGCCACCAAACCAAGTTAGTCAGATCTGTGGAGAGGAGACAATTTAGATTAAGAATGCAGGTTTTTTAAGTATTCTGTGCAATAAAAACATAACCCACTGAATAAATGCAAGACAATTCCATTATATGCCATACTGTGGAACATTTCAGGCAAAGTAAAGAGACCAGGAGACATGCAGACAAGTTACCTAGTACAATTTAAGATCTAAAATAAAATGTACTGAACTTTGCATATCTCTGGCAGCTCTGACACTAACTTCTTGTTGCAGTTAAAGGGTTTCTGTGTCCCTGTCTCTCGCTCACATAAAGAGCAGAGATATGAGGAGTTGCTTACTACACAGTCTGTCAGACAAAAGAGCGTCTGTAATCCAGCCCTTGAAAGCTGCAGATAGTGGCCTGTGCTTTAGCGCTGCATTGTGTTCAGTGATAGTGACTGCAGAGATTCTACATACAACCATAACTGTGTTTACAGGCAACAATAGGGGGATTTTAAACAGTTAAATGAGCAACTTTTGGCCATGTACAGTTATAAATTTACAAACTACAAAATGCTAAAACAAAGAAAATAATGATTCATATTATGGATTACAGCGCTGTAATAGAAAAGTAACAATAGGCTTTTTCAGTTGTAGTTACCTGGAACAGCAATGTATAAGGATGTGTGGACTGCTGTGACACACTAGGAGACAAGATTGCTTTCTTCCAACTGTGCCTGACCAATGGCAAAGTCTGTGAACAAAGAAATCAAAGATTGGGACCAGGAGAAAAAGACAAACAATATATATTTCTTGTGTTGTAAACATCCAAGAGGGACAGGTTTATCTCTAGGAATAGTGAGGAAGCAATGGGCACTCTGAATTGAGTTTTTAAATCGAAATAGAGTGGACAGGAGTTAGAACATTGGCAGTTTGCACGTTCTCCCAGTGTTAGGGTATTATGAATCCCATCGGGACTTAACTGGTTAAATAAAGACTGAACATGTTTCACCAGCATCAAGCATATAAATACTTTTGGAAAACCATATAAGGAAATAGGAAAGTTTTCTTTTTGAAAAATTTTTCTTTTAATCCTATTAAGAGGTATATGTATTTGGTGGATTCACCAACTTGCAAAAGACAGAGAGGATAATCAGATAAATTGTGTCATCTAATTTGAGGTTCAAAGTAATGAAAGTAATGAAATGCAGAACTGCAACCTACTTTACCTATGTACACCACTAAAATATTCTGCGAAATATTTTTGATAGCTAAATCAATGAAAGCATGAAAGATATGCACAGGCTGTTGTGTATATGGTGTACAACGTGCCTACATAGCACCCATTTGATTAACAGTCTTTTAAATGTGATGATCTTTATTCGCTATCATTAGTTGTTATTGGTGAAAAGCTGGGTAAAAAGCCATGTGCCTGACCTCTGACCCCTGAATGTCAGTTACTCACCTGCACATGAACTACCACTATCAACGCACAAGCATATTTAAGCATGTACTTACACCACAGGAGCGCTATGCTAGGTGTTTCTATAGGTAGATAATGGCAAGGTGACAGGTCAGGAGCTTTAAGAGAGGGCTGAGGAGCTAAGAGGTTCAGTGGAGGGACAGCACTTTGCCTGATTGGTTATGGTCCCAGGGGAGATGGGTGGTGTGGAGACATGACATCATGGAGTCCTAGAACAAGAAAAGAGAAAAGAGGTTGAAGATCAGAAGGTCAAGACAAGGTGCAATACATGGTGACCGTGGCGCCATTCAAGGGAGGTCAACTGTGTATTGTCATCCAGCAATCTTTTACAATGGCAGCTGTTGTAGTCATACAGGTCAAGTTTAGATGACCACTTTGCTATCATGAAAAAGTGCAGATGCTGGGCAAGAAAGACAATGCAATAAATGCGTTTGCTTACGCTAACGAAACCTTACTTCATTTTCATAATAAAAAACAGACTCCCCAGGCACATTCTGTGGAAATATATCTCCTATTTTGGTCCCTCTAACCACTACAGTCCTCTTCTTTGTTGTTCTGGTGTCTCATAATATTAGTTCTTATAAGATACAGGACATACTCCTATTTTGAAAATACATGTCAGGAAAAAGATTGAAAATATAATATAACTCACAATAGTCAACTTTACCCAATCAAATATTGATGATGTTTCTTTAAAAATATCATACAATGTTTTTTCAATAGTCTTTTTTAATTTTGGATGTTTTCAATTCTGCAATTGTTGGAATAAATAAACAAGCTAGTCACAAACATTTGACATAATTTATTTTAAATTAGACAATAAAAACTTCTATCTCAGTCTATATAATTCTGGGTTGGAATGAAATGAAATCGAATTCGATGAAAACATTTACAACATTTACAGTATTTTTTAATATCCACTTTCTTGTTTTTGAAATAATACTTTACAAATCACCTTTTTACACTGCATTTGGAAAAGTAATGGTGCTTGTAATTCTCTGTCAGCTAAAAACTTATTCACTTATTCAAATGGCCTGGTGGAGCGTGCTTGATATTTTATTACCACCATTATATAGTAAATCATAACCTATACTCCATGGAGCATCTGAATATGAACATGCAGTAGAAATCGTAAAAAATGAAGTGTTTGCCTCACTTTTACTACAGCATGTGGGGAGACTGGGGAGTGGTGATTTATGGGTAAGTGAACGCATGAAGTGGAAATGGAGGCTGCTTTCCCGTCACTAAACACTGCTTAGAGTCCTTCTGCTAATGGCTACACAATGGATTGATGAACGAGTGCTAACTGGAAGGATGAGTACAACAGACTGACAGGTACATACAGAGGAGATGATGCACCTTGTAACCAGGCTGTGTATGCTGCAATCAGACAACTGACTCATGACACAGGTGCACACTCAGGCGCTCTGTTTGTAATGTGAGCTGATTATTACAAAACTATTCATACTGGATTTGGTGTGGTGCTGAGGGTAGAAAGGTAGAAATTTGTCTGCATTTGACCTATCTTTCAATGCTGCTGGAGCAACCTGTCAGAAACAATCAGGAAGATCTTCAGAGTCCAGGTCAGGACTACCTTAGCTGGAGGATTATACATACTGTGTGTGTTTTGGGTTGATGGGAGGAAATCCACCCAGACACCAGGAAAAACATGGAAACTTCGCAAAGAAAGCAGAGAGTGAGGCATTGTCAGTCATTCTGTAGTGGGACAGCTATGGCACAAGTTTGGCAGTGACTGAATTCAGCACCAACTTTTGACATCTGGAAAAGCTGTGATAAAGCAAATGCATTATTGTAAGTAATATTTAATCTTGTCCCTCAATTGCAAAGAAGTGACTGGCCAAAATGTGCTTCATATTACACTACATTCTATGTTATACTGTTGTTTCCATCAAAAACATACTTGAAGTCATGTTTTGTTTCATTCACACATGTTTAACACACAAATCTTTGCCTGGAAAAATTCAGAATCTCATCGCTTTACCAGTGGCTGATATTCATCTGTATAACAAATACAGAGAGATATCCTTCTGGATTTCCAGGCAACCCAAACCTCTAGACTGAGCTCTTCTCTTAACCAGATAACACTCTTTCCTATCTTGTGTTAATACAGGAAGTGCTCCACTATATTTTAAAATGATATCTTTTAAACTTTAACCTCATCATTACATGTTTTGTACTTTCACTGTTGGACAATATTTGTGTACATGTAATTATGGTTCACTGTGGTTTCTAATAACCAGTTTTTACTACTATACATAAAAATTACCAGTTTATAATAGCATAATCTCATCATATAATCTCTGCATATTTTTTTAAACTACGCAAAAAGTAAAAAACAATATCACAGCAGGTAGAGCAAGCTTTACATTCTCAATATATGTATACATGTTTACAACTCCTCCTTCTGAGATGTTTTCTTTAATAGAACTCTAATGTAATTCATTGACATGTTTTTAATTTGGTGGTTGGCACCATATGCTCCGACTGGCACACGGTGAGAGCCATTTCCATCAACACCTGTTCTCATTACCACTGATGATATTTAATTAGAATACATCTAATGTTAAAAATGTCAGCAATTCTGGCATACAAGGTTTCCTCTGCACCAGAATGCCACGAGTGTTTCCTGTGATTGTAGCGGTATTTTAATCAGCTGTAGACTGACAGCCAGAGTCTGTCTTTGGAGTGTCTATTACATTTCTATTTAAAACAGACAGATTGAGCCAAAATACAATCAATTTAGAGTGAATTCTTCAGTGATTTTCCTCTTGGAAACATAATGGAATCGCTTAGCTGTATTGTAGTCTATGTCAATAAAGCTAAGCCAGAGAAGTGAAGACAGAGGGTTGGCTAGAAGCGGTGTTTATTGCATTTAAATCACTCAAGCATCCTAAGTGACTCTTTATATTTGATACAAGATAACTTTGGGACTTGGTGTAACACTGTGTTTGGGTGGCTGTGAATGTAGTCAATTTTTAGTAGACAGAATCTGGTTTGGGTTTTGATCTCCACACACCAAAGTGCCATTGTTGCACCTTCTGTGTTATGTCATGGTAATAGCGGATCTCGACACAATTTGACTCAGTGTCCTCAATCATCAAGTCTATTTTCCACCAATCGTGGTTCACACGGCCGCCAATCTCAGCAAAGAAACTGTTAAACTACGGAATTTATGTGAAAATGTGAAATATCCTCCAAGATAATTTTAGTGTTTCAGAGTATGAGTTCATTATATTGCTTTTGAGAATGATGGGAGGACATTCTTGGGTGATTGCTTTTGTACAAAGACAAGTTTTGTAGTGTTTTTTCTTAGATGCTGCATTGTTTATTGGCAGGGAGAATGTTCAAGCAGGACACACAGGTGTACGCTTTATTGTTTTGAAAAGCACAGATTTCATTCATACTCAGAGGACACCATGGACATTTCAAAAGTGTAAAAATCTATTGTCATGCTTTTTCATCCAACCAACCATCTGTCTCTTAGCAAGCAGACAGTTGCCTTACCAGTAAATTTAACACCACAACCTATCCGTTTATCTGGGTTTGGGTCTGGCAACAAGAGTAAACTGCTTCTGACCATTTGTGATTCAGTTTACCGGTAATAAAAATTCATTAAAATACATATTGAAAAGATAAATGGGTATTACATTTGGGAGAAATTGATAAACCGTATTGCAGGTTGTTTATTTTCTGATCTGTGTTATAACGTTGTGTCCTCATCAAAAACATACCTGGAGTTGTCTTCTGTTTCATTCACAAATGTTTAACACACAAACTCTGCATATTTAGGCTGAGTTCTTCTCTCAAATGTAAAACACTCTGTTCCACCTTGTGATGTGATGTGGTAATAGAGGAAGTCCTCCCCTGTGTTTTTTTTAACTCCATACACCTTCACTAGAATCATTTAGTTAATTTCAGCCCTGGAACTGCCAACTGAACTAAAGGTAAAAGATAGCTGTTAAGTTGAAAATGACTGCTTCATGACATGACAAGGTAAAACAGAGTATTTTGAGTTTGGGGGATGCAGACAGACTTATATTAAAGGATTACTCTAACATGTGTGACTGAAACAACTCCAGGTATGTTTTTGATAAAGTAACAAGATTCTAACATAGCTTAAAGTTCACAAGAATCTATATTGTGAAATATAGGACATTTAAAATTAAGCTAACATGCTGCTGAAGATGGCTACATATTTCAGTCTTTATATATTGAATCGTTATATCAGGTAGTAGTCATGTAATCAACTTTGTAAATGACACTAAATGTGTACAACCATCATTGACATTTCAAATAATTGAGGAGTTTCTAAAACTAACAAGTTTGACTTCACAGCTTCTTGGTGCTATTTTGTCCATTTTATTTTGCTGCTCTTTAGCAATTTAGGTCTGTCAGGAAACACATTAACTTTGTTTTCTCCAATAGTTAATCAACATGTCACTGCCCAGACACCTCTCTGTGTGAAGCGGCTCCTCCTCAGGTGCCCCACTGATGGTTAGTTCCAATTAGACCTGTCCCTTTGCTTTTGTCACTTCTGACCATCCTGTCCTGCCCTAACCTCTGTCCAGTTACAAATTGCAGAGTGTATTTTTTCCCTTTTAGAGTTTATTTTCCATATATTTTAAGAAGTAAACAAAATTTGCTTTATAAGATCTTGCATCAATAGAGCCCTAATGTTTTCAAATGAGAAAAACACTTTAATGTGCCATATGGCCCATGTATAAATGGCCTAATAAGCACTACCTAAAAAGTTAATTAGGGACATTGCTACTTGCCAACTGTTTATATAATGTCCAGTACTTGTTACAAAATCCTATAGAGCATTAGTATTATTGCACTTTTACATAATTATACAAGTCTGGAGTAGACAAAACCAAGGTGGCCAATCTTTGCCAATAGCCCCTTCAACCAACATCAATCACTCACTGCATTCATACATGGCGGGTGAAGTGAACATTGTGCAGAATTAAGAGCCAGGTTTGATCAGTCAGCCTTTGGTTTGGCAGATGAGCATTCCAATCAATGAGCCCAACCTGCCCCAGCCAGGTAATCAGTCCAAAACTACCAAACCCCTTCAAACTTTGTACAGCAAAAGGACTAACAAAAATAAAATTATATTATCACTATTTCAGAAGGAAATAGGTCAGTTTACTTGTTTACACTTTATGTGGATACAAAATTTATCTTGTAAATGCAATTTAAAATAATGAGCACCACTGTATTTTACACTGTCTTATAAAAGTAGTGTTATAAATTGTTAGCATCTAAAAATGTTTATGAGGACATATGCTTCCTATTGGTCGTCAACCAGATGTATCTTCCCATATGCACTCCCATAAAAGTAGTAGTAATGAGCCAGTATAGCTTGCAGTTGCTGCATGATTAGTACCAATGAAACTTACAGTAAAAAAAGCTTCCAGTCTAATAAATATCTTCTATGTACGTTTAACACATGCATATTGCTCATATCGGTCACTGTGTGTTCCCAGCTGCTGAAAAGATCCTTCCATTCTCCAAGGACATGTATTGTGTCTTCTTACCCTCTAGAGTCTTTCCAGTGCTCTTTATGCCACAAGTCTCTAGACAGTTAAATCTCCCTCGGCTTCGCTTAATCTCATTCACTCATGTATTTTCCCCATCCTCCCAGTTCACTTCAGACATTTATCAGCTGCCGCTCAACAGAAGCGCATTCTGTAGGAAAACATCACCTGATTTGGTCTAGTTGAAGAGTTTCAGCTGAGGGTGAAGATGTGAGGAAGTCAAGGGGTTTAAAAGTGTATATCCAAGCCTGGCCTGACACCTTGTGGCCACAATAAAAAATACATAAGTGACTAAAAAGGATAAAAACAAACCCTCACAAGATTCTCGTTTAGTCCTGGTTTAGTTCTGGTTTAACCCTTTTAGATGTGTTTATATTCGTATTTAGACCCTATTTAGCCCCAGGTCGATCTTAGTTTAGGTTCTGAAAAAAACAGTTTTTGAAAAAAATTGTATCTCTGTCACTTGTGATTTCCATGCTGATAACTGTTGATTGTTTTCTTTTTTATTGTTTTAGACATACAAACAGCTTTTAATTTGTAGGCACATGACCTTCAGGAAGGCGATCTTGCCTTATGGGTTTGTATGTTTGTGGGTTTGACTTACCTTCTCCACGGCAACCAGCTGTACACACTGACAGGACACAAACAGACAGAGGGAGCCTATTGTGTTGGTGCTTGTATATTGTGTGCATAAGTGTTAAAAGGTATGTGATATGTGCTTTTAGGGCATATGGATTATTATGCATTTTACATATGTGCTTGTCTTGTATTCCTATTACTGCAGAGTTGAAACATGACTTTTGCTGAAGGGAAGAGTGACATGGAGCGACTGGGAATCTTCAAGGAGATGGGTTACATCTCCATAGGTGACAAGTACAACCCCCTAAACAATCGTAAGCAAGTTATATTTGTCATCTGAGAAAAGCAAATTTTACTCCAAAATCTGGGTGGATATATTTGAGCAGCAATAGGCTAGTTATTAAATGTTTATAAGTCAGGCATCTGAGATGTTAGGGCACAAACCTTTGCAGAGACTATCCATCCACAGTTTTGGGAGATTTCTGGAGTAACAGCATGTGTTTTTAGAATATATAATAAAAATGTAAACACACTTAAAAATTACAATTCATAACAATTCTTAACAATTCATTTTACATCTATTTTTAGGTAACTTTAATGAGTCAGCCCACCGCAATCGGCAGATGCAAGCTGGCTGTGCCACACAACGCTGTGCATTGCAAAGCGGCTTCTTTGAGAAAACATACAATCGGATTTTTGAACGCGAGGCACTCAATGACCCAATAAGACTGGCCCGGCAGTATAGGAACCAGCAGGCCAAGAAAATCCTGGGCAAAGCCTTCCTGCCCTCCAGTACCATAAAGAAACCGTGAGGGGAAATAAATGACTTTGACATTATTGCTTTATGATTATAGAACTTACTGCACTGGTTCCTTTGGTTGTTCAGGTGTGGATCGGGTAGTTATTATGGCACACTCTCTGGACCAGTGGAAGCAATGAGCCCCCAGACACTGCCCCAAAAACCACACAAGTCATCTGGGCGCAACATTATGACCTCACCTGCCAAGAAAGGCAGCGGTTACAGGTTTATGGCAAGCAAAAGTGCACCACATGTAGATTTGATAAAAGACATTACTCTGGTTAAAACTGGCCTCAGCAGTTATTAGTATACATACTGTTTTAGTTATAAACTAAAATGTTTTCCTTTGCAGCTATCCTAATGTGACCCTTTCCAGTATTGAGTTGTATGCTTCTGACCCATATGACAGAGCCAAGGAAATCCTAAAGGTAAGAGAAATTTAGATACAGCTTTCCCAGAACTTTGAGCTAGTATTCACCTGTTCTTCTTCAAACTTCACCAAAATATACTGCTCAAAAAATTAAAGGAACACTTTGAAAACACATCAGATCTCTAGATATCTATACGAATACGGACAGGGCAATGTCTTAGGAACACAAGGATGCCACCTCTTTTAATGGAAATAAAACATTTTGCCTACAGAGGGCTTAGTCTTATAGATGCCCTAAAAAAATCAAAGTGAAATAATTATGTGGCAGACTAGTCCATTTTGCCAAAATGTAATTTCTGCAACTCAAAGTGTTTCTCAATATCTTGTGTGGCTCCCATGTGCTTGAATGCATGTGTTTGACAACACGGTGGCATGTTCCTAATGAGACGACGGAGGGTGCTTTATGAGATGTCCTCCTAGATCTGTGTAAGGGCATCACTGAGCTCCAGTAGAGTCTGAGGAGCAACCTGGCAACGTCTGATGAACCCAAACATAATGTCCCAGAGATGTTCTTTTGGGTTTAAGTCAGGCCTTCATCCTCCAGGTACTGACTGCATACTCTTGCCACAAGGGACTGGGCATTGTCTTGACTCGTGCATCAGGAGGAACCCAGGGCCTATTGCACCAGTATAAAATCTCACAGTGGGTTCAAGGATTTCATCCCTATACTTAATGGCAGTAAGACTACCATTGCATATGCCACCCCAGACCATCACTGACCCACCACCAAACTGCTCATTCTGAACCATGTTGCAGGCAGCATAGCATTCTCCTTGTTTCCTCAATACTCTTTCACATCTGTCACAGGTTCTTAGGGTGAGGCAGTGGCGGACTTGCCAATTCTCCTGTGTTCTAGCAAATGCCAATTCTGAAGTCTTTTTCTAGTTATTTGGGCAGAGACATTCACACCAGTGGCCTGCTGGAGGTCATTCTGTAGGGCAGTGCTCAACCTGTTTCTCCATGCACAAAGAAGCAAATATGGGTCCTGCTGATGGGTTGAGGACCTTCTACGGCCCTGTCCAGCTCTCCTAGAGTAACTGCCTATCTCCTGAAATCTCCTCCATGTTCTGGAGATTGAATGACCTCCACATGCAAAACCAGTCCTGTTTTAGGGGTTGTCTCATTGTTGCTACTCTAGTGCACCTGTTCTTCATTTCCATAAAAAAAAAAAAGTAGCATCCTTTTGTTTTTAAGACATTGCCCTGTCCATATTTGTATAGATAACCAACTTTTATTTTCACATTGAGATCTGATGTGTTTTCACACATAGTCACCCAAACACATCACAGTTTGGATAATATGGTAGCTCCCCTAAAATTGTAATATAGAAACACTCAAATTTCAGTGATATTCCATGTATTTTTGTTGGATTTCCCTGAAGTACCGTGATAAGATACACAAAACAAAAATGCCTAATTCTGGCACTTTTTTGTAATGGCATCATTTACAAACTGTGGAGCATGCTGATCATTTGTTTGTGTGTTAAAGAAAGAGGTACTGTCACATCAATCTAAGGTAAAGGCTGGACCCTTCAGACTGAACCTTCATCCAAAAGACTTTTTTCAAGCCAATCCATACCGCAGTGACAAACCAACACCCCAGGAACAGAAGAAACTCCCCTCTATAAAGAAAGTGTCCCCAGTTCCATTCAAACCCTCATCTCCAAGTAAACGGGTTAGTATGTTCTTATTCTAATTAAGACCTGAATATATTTTTGAAATGTGTAAAAACCCCAAAAATTTTTTTGACCTTATCAGATTGGAGGAATGAAGGCTGGAACATTTGATACTTACCCTTCACACTCTGCTGATCCATACACCATTCGCCGCTCCAAATCCACTCATCAGGGACCAGTTTTTCACCCAGCACCAGGTCCCAAGAGCACCCCTGTTAAAAGTATCATTATGTACAATGTTAACAGGTAACACCGAGGTTTAATATGTAAAATTAGATTACATTATGTAACTACATTAATTAAATAAGTGTGTCTTTTCACAGGAGTGTGCACTCTGCAAATTACAGCTCAACCATCTCAGCAGTTATGTCATTATGACTGTCATTATTGATAGCAAACGATGGCCCTGATTTTAGCATTCATAAAACCATCTGTTTTAAGATGAGACCGTTGAAGTCATCTATAGCTGAACGTGTGTGTAATATTGTTTTGAACAACAGCAATGCTGTTCTTTCATCAGTTCAGGATGAACAAAGAGTGCAGTTTATTGCTTTACTGACCTTGCAAAAATATTACGCAGAAACAGTAACAATAAAATACTAAAAAATATATAAAAACGAAAAGCAACGTGTGAGACTGTGATGCACATAGCCTGACGGCATTTAAATGTTAATAATTTATAAAGTAATTTTCAAAGTAAAACAGTAGCCAATAACAGCCTAAATATGTATGGCAATGGCAAATGTGAAAATAGCAAGTTCATGTAGGAATCACATTCTTTGCACTTTAATTTATTTGCTAATTCACTTACCTTGCAAACGCAACTATGGAATCGACCACGTGATTGCTTCATTGCATAAGAAACTCAGTTACCCAGAATCCATTGCGCCTTCCTACAAAAACGTGATTCAATTTCCGCCCAATCTCTCTTTCTCTGGCTGCAACCATGTGGTGTGGTCGGTGTGCTGCGCTTATCGGCTTGGTAAGCTTTTAGACGTTCAAATGCATCTTTGTTACATTTAGGAGATATATGTATATTCATTTGTACGTTTGACGTTGCCAATCTTTTAGCCTGCTATTTATTTCTTTGCTTTACAAACATGTGAGTTTAATGGTTGGCTAGCTTCTTGCATGAGGCTTTCTGACGAAACTGCTGCTACTACACTATTATTAGTACTATTCACAATTGTGTGGATTTATGTATGAATTGGATATACTCAAAGGCTGTGTATTAATGTTTGAGACATCCATGCATTTCATTTGTATGCTTTACAATGTTTATTTCTACAGGAAGTTTCTCTCCCTACTTGACCAAACCTGGGGAAAATAACCTTGGAATGAAGATGTACACATATGTCTGCTGGCGGTGTAGGTCCTCAGGTGAAAAATGTGTAATGGTTTATTGTCCTCTACCTCTCCCCTCCCTCACTCTCCAGCTCTCAGTCAGCTGTCCTGACCTCCATGTCTGGTTCAGTGTTACGGGGCTGGTAGAGGAAGTCTCTGTACTAGTCCTCAGCCTGGCAGGTTCTGTTTTAGAGTCTGCTGCTGCTGTGGTGAAGCAGAGCACAGCCCAATGAGAGTGGCCCTCCCTGATCAACTAGCAGGGTGGGCCTAGTATAGGGCTGCACACTTCCACATCTCCAGTAAATACATCAGTAATTATAACACACATATTTTAACATTTTCTCATTCTGTTTGTAGGCTAGAGCTGGCCATGAGTCTGAAGCTAAACCACAAGAACACATTTGCTTCTGGAAAAAGGTGAGTATCCAAAATGTGTCATTCTGCTCATTGCCTGCTGTGATGTTTGAAATAACACATCATGCTGACCAAATGCCATGGTGAAAATTCGTAATAAATTCTGAGCGTTTTAACCTATTCAAAATTGTGATGCAGGGCCTCTCTGTTCTGACTACATTTTTATTTTAACAGACGCTAGCAAGACTTAAAACCTCTGAAGACTCGGTAAGAAACACGCCATGAATGTGTAATGCTCAATCCAATTTTGTACTGCCATGTCAGAGTCTTTCATCTCTGTTGTGGAATCAAAGAATTGGGAGAGTATCTTCAGGACTTTGGCACAGGTTTAAGTAAGGCCTGTTTACCATAACCTGACTGAAGACCTGGAACAGTTATTCTTAAACTCATTGCCTTTGACTTATATTTTTATATATTTTGCCCCAGATCCGTCCAGCAAATGCATCAAGATCTTGCTTAAGATGGGTGTGTGAGGCTTGGGAGATGCTCTGCGGTTTATTTTTTTTCTTTGGTCTAAATGTAAGTTCAATGAATAAGACTCACCTGGTACAAGAAACCGCCATCTTTACATTGTACATGTGAACTTTATATATGCAATAATGGTTATTTAAATTATACTGAAATTAAGCATATGTAGTTTAGTTACTGGTGTTGCAAAAGTTTGTATTGCTTGGTTACAATTTTGAGTGATGTGGATCATGAATAGTATTAAAGATGTACAATATTAACATCGTCTCTTTACTGTGCTGGTATAATGGTGGTAAAGACAAACTGCCTATAAGCAAAAAAATGAAGGCATTAAACTGAACTGTTGGACAAATTTGAAATAAAAAGGGGGACCGTATTGTCTGACTGGATGCTTATACCGTGCAATTCGTCTGTCAAGGTAGTAAAGCTGTGGTTAATCCAAATATTGCCTGTAGCCTGTTTGTGTGAAACCATCAAGCTCGGTCCGATAAACTTGTTGGGTCAAGATGCACGATTTGCACGCAGCCTATACGCGTCATAGATTCATGGTTTGAAGTGCCAGAGTTTGCCAAGAGAAAAGGGGGCAGGTCTGAAATGGAGGTGGAGTTTTTCCTTCAACTTAACTTGGAAGACCCAAGATTTTTCCTCTAGGCGAGAGAAGGATACTACTGGACAGTTCTAAAGAGTATTAAAACCAAAGCTCTGGTAAGTCGTCAAACCTTTTTGATTTCAATGCGGACTTTATAACTAAACCGTCCTTCCCTGTTAATAAAATGAAGGCAGTCTAAGTTTATTGTGCGCAAAATGCTTGGTTGGCAAAAACTAAACGGATGTTTCATCACGAGATGTACACTATAAGCAAACAGATTTCTATTTTTACTTTACCCTTTTAACCAAACTGTTGCCACATTATTTACCGTTAATTACAGAATTGGTTTTGACCCAATGAGAACAACGCAAACAACACAATACGCATCAATTTATGCGCAGACTCATTATTTAAGAGCACATATTGCGCTATTTCTGATCCATGTTTCCTCATCACAAACATAACCAATTTGTGTTTTGTTTTATTCACACATGTTTAACACACAAACCCTGCATATTTATGCTGAGTTATTTCAAACAAACAAAAAAAAACTATTCATCTGTGATATCAGGTGGTAACACAGAAAGTGCTCCTCTCTGTTTTAAACTCCACACACTTTCACTAGAATCATTTGGATAAAAAAGTAAAAGGTAGCTGTTCACATGAAAATAGTTTTACGCAATATTGGACCTCTAATATTTAACAATATTCTGTGCAAATGGATGCCCCCAGCCCCGTTAAGCAACTACAGCGCTCTTTATTTGCATGTTGCACATAGAAAAAGAGAAGTATAGAGATTGTCTAACTCCTAAGAAGATCCTCCGGATAGAGTTTACATAAACCCATTGCCATACGAGTATACGAGTTCTACTTGCTGCAAAATCAAAACATAGTTGATCTTTTACGTTAAACTGTGTTTTTTTGTTTTGTTTTGTTTTGGGGTTTTTTGGTGGAAGAGTGAGGGAAGCCTTGTCCCTTGGAGCCCAGTGCAATGGCCAAATACCTGCGATTTTTCACTGCTGTGGGTGACCAGCAGCAGGTTCAGTGGGATGATGAGGAGCTGCATACGGCCAGTGAAGAACTGAGTCCAGCCACGGGACAGTTCCCTTCAGCTCTGACCTTCAGAGAATCTCTGAAGAGGCTCTACAGCTCTGAACGCTTCCAGGTACATATCTGTTTCTGCATGTGCCATTTTGACCAAACATGACCCTCCCAATAGCCTAGGTTTGTGCTTTTTCTTTAAGGTTGCAGTTGTATGTTTGGTCATACTTGATGCCATATTTGTACTGGCTGAGCTCTTGATTGATTTGTCTATTATTGAGGTGGAACATGGACACATTGCTCCTGAGGTAAGTATAACAGTTTTGTCATCTAGAATAATGCCTCAAAATAGTGGATTGGGAAAGGTCTGGTTGAGTGATAGTGAAGCTGCAGTTAAATTTAACTTATCAAGTTCACATTACAGTAGCCACAATCAAGTCTTAGAAGGGTATTATTAAACATGTAAATAAGAAGCTGATTTCCTGTGCAGATCTTTCACTATCTGAGCCTGGCTCTTCTGACCTTCTTCGTGGTGGAGCTGATGGGAAAGCTCTTCGCCTACCGCCTGGAGTTCTTCCAGCACAAATTTGAGGTGTTTGATGGACTGGTGGTAGTTGTCTCATTTGTGCTGGACATTGTCTTCATCTTCAGAGAGGATGCGTTTGATGCCATGGGCCTACTCATCCTGCTTCGACTCTGGAGAGTGGCCAGAATAATCAATGGTACACACACACACACGCACACGCACGCACGCACACACACAAAATAAAAGATAAACTTGATAAAAGTCACATAACACTTATACCAGCAGGCCTAGACAGATTAAAAATCCTCCTATATTACACCAAATTGACTCTTGTGAGACTTTAGACATGTTAGATGATGTTACCTTATCAAAAACACCCACATTTTAGTTTTTTCCCACATGTTTAAGTTATCCTGCATTATTAGGCTCATAGGCTGTCTACCTATCCAAACTCAAAATGCTCTGTTCTACCTAGTAATGTCATGAAGTGGTAGTTTTAACGTTAATAGCTTCAGCTGAACTTCTTACTCTGCAATACACTACACTAACATTAAGTTTATGCCTTTAGTTTTTATTTGATCTTTTGTTCAGCTGAGATTGCCATATAAATTCCACAATATCCTTCACAGAGAAATGAAGAATGTTCAAATAGGCTCAAACAATAGCTGTAGCTTCAAAATTTAGCAGGGCTGCAAATTTTCAAATTATTCTAATGAAAGTGTGTGGAGTTTAAAAACACAGTGGAGTGCTTCTACTACTTGATAACATCAAGAACAACAGAGTGTTTTCAGTTTGAGTAAAAAAACACAGCCTAAATTTTCAACATTTATGAATGAAACAACACAACTCCTGGCAGGTTTTTAATGAGGATACAAGTTGAAATTGAAGAACCAATTGGTGTTTCATTTCTTGTCACCTATGAGAATATTTTTTCTTGACTTTCTTTGTTGAACTGGCTCAGAATTTTGTAATCTATCTAGCCGTAAATAGTCAACCTAACATGGACATGTACCCCAGGTATTCTGGTGTCAGTGAAAACTCGAGCAGACCAGAGGCTCCACAAACTGAAGGAGAGCTATGACCACCTCGTCCAGAGAGTCACAGAGCTACAAGCACGCACTGATAAACTGGTGACTATACTGTTTTTATTTAGATTTTTCAGATTAAAAAAATTATAATTTACAGCATAACTAGGTTGAATGAAGTGGAACTGTCAGTCATAAGTAAAGCCGTAATATTAACTGCTTTTTTTACTATGCATCTATTCTAGGAACAAGAAAATCAGAAACTTCAAGCCCTCCTGAAAAAACACAACATAGATTTGTAGATGAAGAATATTTTTGAAGTCACTACTGTTATTGAGTTTTATAGACTTGATTCTTAGCACATGACAATGAGAAATAACAAGTTTCAGTGTTTTGTGAAATCAAATTTCAGTGAAATTATTTTTCTATTATTTTGTCAGACACAATTGTGACTGATGTTAAATCAAGATTAAATTGAATGTTGGTGTATCAGTTACATTTGTTTGTATATAGTTCAAACTTTTATCACTATAAAACTGTGAACATACACTGAAATAATTATATCAAAATATGTATATATATAACATTTGATTTATTTACATTAAAATAAATATTATATTTTCAGTCATAAACACGTGTCACGTGTAAACAAAACTATTTATACAATGCGCACGTAATAAGCTGCCATTAAACAATTTTGCCCCTGAGTTAATTGAAAAATGTTGCTATTTGTACATGTATTATTCAAAAGGGAACAAAAAGTCAAAAGGCAATTTGGCATCAATTGTGGGCATGACTCTGTATCTAGGAGTAGCAGGAGCAGACACTGAGATGAAAGCCACTGATGTTTGGACTGGTAAAACAGCGCTTCCTCCGGACAGCAGGGCCTAGGGAAAACCTTCTGAGTTAAAATTTTTACAACTGTAAACACAAACTGTAAAACTATAATTCCAGTTTTCTTACCAACTCACTGGTGTTAGTGTGAATAATTTCTTTGACGCTTACAATCTGTGCCTGAGGATTCACCAGGGTTCCGTATTTGGTCCATTCAATTTCTAAATGAAGTGACAGAGGAATGCCACAGCCTTCGGAGTCCTACAAAATACAGCACGCATTATTAAAATATACAGAAAGAAGTTAAGTAATCAAAATGTATATATATTTTAACCTGTGGATTAAATGTTCTTTTGATAGCCACCCAGTCTAGTGATTTCTCTATGGGAGAATTTCCAAAAGATGCCACAAACTGGGGATAATTTTGTCCTCTTAGAATATCTAGTAACACTTGAGAGATTAGTCTGCAATTTGTTACATCAGCCAGTCTGAAAGAAAAATCATGTACTGGATTACTAAAATTAGGAATCCAGTAAAGTGAATGCAAAAATGACTTGCCTCAATGTACAACCGGTTACAGAATCATGCCCAAATAAAATTTGAGATCGCAGCTGTGGACCCTGCAGACAGTCCTGGTCTATTGAGCTTTGCAAAAGGGACAGTGTGTCTTTGGGATTGATGCTTCGAGAAAGACCTGTGAAAGCTAATTGTTAAGAAAAATGTGTGTAAAGAAAAATTAAGCAACAACAACAACAAAAAAAAGAAGGATTTGATTTATAAAATGGACACTTAAAGATGCCTTCATTGCTTTATCTATGTATTCACTCCCCATGGTGATGGTAAGTAAGTTAAGTTTTTATTTAAATAGCACTTTTCACAGGCATATGTCAGAAAGACACTTTACAGAGCATTATTCATTCACTCCTTACCGGGTGATGGTAAGCTACTATTGTAGCCAAAGCTCTCCTGGGGCAGACTGACTGAAGCGCAGCTGCTAATCTGCGCCAACGGCCCCTCCGACCACCACCAACACTCACGCACACACCACTTTCATACAAGGCAATGAGGGTGAAGTGCTTTGCCTAAGGACACGACGACAGTTTTTGTGACTGGCGCCCCCCTGTGGCACCTGATTTTCCTAGTTGTCTCCCATCCTAGTACTAACCAGGCCCGGCCTTGCTTAGCTTCTGAGATCTGATGGGATCAGGCTTTGACAAGCTGGTATGGCCACAGAAAGTAGCCATCTTCTGCCACAGCTGCCACAGCTGGAACCATCTATCTTGAATGCTTCATTCACTGAACTTTATAAAAAAGGATATTCTGGTGTTTTGTATGCAGACATAAGCGGCAATCCAACCACATAACCAGGATTCCCACTGAACTGGACAGCCACCTTAAGTCCATTGTCCTGTTAAAAAACAAACATGTTCTCTAAAGACAAAATTAAATGAAATGTGGTCACATACAAAATAACATGATCTTACTTCAGAAAACCTCATCTCAAAGATTTGTTCAAAAGACATAGGGGTGTCTTGTACATATCCGAGCACCAAAGATGCAGCCACATTAACGATCTCTCCAGCAGAATTGTACTTGACCACATATGCAACCTGTAAACCAGAGATGTTTAGTTAGCAGCAGACTGGCTATTTGTGCTAGGAGAGACATAAGGTCGTTCCTACCTCTAACACCACATAGGCACACAAACTTGGGTTCAGAAGAACAGGAAGAAAATCTCCTTCACTGAACTGCACCTCAATCTGAGCACCTTCCAAAGACTGCATTACTATAGATGCCACTTCCACAGGAACAAGCTATAAAAATTATAAAGAATAAATGCTAAAAAATATTTCTTACTTTTCTTGTAGTAATAAGTTTAGAAATTTGGGGCCTATATGACAACACTTGATTACTTCCCCTTTCTTTAGTGTGTCAATATTTCCAATACTTCTGTATTTGTTTTGACATATCCTAAAATGTCACATGAACCCACAACATAATACGTACTGTTGCATCAATAGATTTCCCCTGAAAACAAAACAAAATGGGCTTAGTGAGGTTTAAGACAAAGGAATAAGTCACTAATCTATTACATTTCATAAATAACTACAAATCCACATCTGAAAATTATGTAGAAGCTCACAGATAAGACTTGGATGTTGATATATGTGTCTATGCTCAGAGCTGGAAGGCTCTCACAGTCCTGCTGAAGGTCCACACGCCTCGAACAGCGATTATTTTGCTTGTTCAGGAAAGCTGTAGAAAAATCATGTAAATGGACAACCATCTGTATTTACATTTAAATTGCAATTCATATTTCATTCATTTGATTCATATGTGATGGTAAATGTTACACATTTGTGTCTGAACATTCTTCTCTTTTTCAAGGGACAAATCCATCCTACTAATTTTTATTAAACTGGTGTTATTGTATGCATAAATGTACAATACCTGCAGGGTTTCTATCCACACAGTCCATAGTAATACCAGAGGATGGAAGATAAAAAATGTCTCTCTGTCCATTGGCCACTGTAGTTTGCATAATATCCCCATACTAAAATCAAATGCACAAGAATTTTATCTTATTTAGCTTTCCAAATCTGCCAGTGTGTGTCAGTGAACTGTGTCAGTTCAACATTACTACCTGATATCCAGGTGAGGTCTGTGGCTCTGTTGCAGATCCCTGCCCACTGTCTGGGCTGAAAGTAAAACTGGTGAACTTTTCAAAAAGAGAGTCAAAGTTTCTGTCTGTTGGTAGAGCTGGTGGTGGGTGGTGATACAGCCCTTCAATCCCTAGGATAGGTCATGAGACATGGATTATTTGAAATTAATCTGCATGTTTATTCACTAAAATGCATGAACTTACGATTAGCAAAATAAATACAAAAAGGATCATAATTCTTGTCATTCTGTACAGATGACTGTAGCTCTGAGTAGCCATCTATTGTAGTACTCAATGAGTAGGAGGCCACATCCTGGTTACACAGCCTCTTACTGCCTCTGAGTACAGATGTGGAAACAAATAATTAATGTTTTAATTTCAGTTATTCATCTTTGTTTAGGAGTGAAGAAAAATAACAACTGTTGTCATAGTAATGAACTAACAATTCAAAACAGAATAATAAACTGAATTGTGAAAAATCTTAAAAAATTGCATGCCTAACCAGATTTACGAATAGTCTTAGATTATCTTTGCAAATAACAATTGATTTATTTACCTGACAGTGTTCACGGAGCAGCTGGTGAACAGAGCCAGCTCAGGACCACACTCTTTGTCGCAGCAGCAGTTTATGTCACACATATCTTTGTCCATATCGCATGGACACACTAGTGCCACTGAGAAATAATAGGCATCACATCATTGCATTATTGACCATGGCAATAAATACAGTGCCATGTTGTTGTTATTATTATTATCTTATCATTATATAACCCTTACACAAGATAAATCAACAGAAGGAATTGCAATTACATCACTTCACAAAATATAGCTATAGAAAAAAAAAGAGATTACAGAGATATTTTCAGTGGTGCATTTGTAGACAGTACATTGAACATTTTGATGCATTATTCATTCACTTGAATCACTGCTAGTCTATCTTAGGCAAAATGGCTCAGGTGCCTTCCTAAATATGCATAGTAAATAGGTGAAGAAACATTTCAACAAACAAATGTGCAATTCATTATCAACATGTAGAAAATGTGTCATTTAAAAACTTAAGTCATAAGCAAGTTACCACTAGTGGCAGGTTGGAGAAGTTGGCCGGATAAGGGCAAGGGATCCTCAGGCAGGTCTGGTTCTGGAGGCTCGGTGCTGATGCTGGAGGTCGTGGTTGAGATTCGGGTTGTTGACTCAAACTGCGTAGGTTCTGTGGGAGTATAAACATCTGTAATGTTAAATGTGTTGTTCTGATCAGGATACACCGTCGTACTCAAGTTGTAGGACGTATTATTCTCCGAAGCAATTAATTTATTGTTTATGACAATATTCACAAGCATCAAGTAAAATAGAGCATAAAAGGACGCCATCTTTGTTTAACGGTTGCTATGGTTCTTCTTCTAAGAATATGGCACATCATTTTGGTAAACACGAGCTCCCCCTGTAGTCCGTAACAAAAATTTGCAAGGCAAATTGGGATTGGTTTTAAACCTTAAATCATGTAAAAAAAAAAGTACGCAAAGTGAAAGAAAAAGTCAAAATGCGACTTGGCATGGCTCTGTATCCACGAGAAGCAGAAACCACTGAGATGAAAGCCACCGATGTTTGGACTTGTGGTAATATGCAGCAAGGGCTGGGGCTTAAAATTCTTACTATGCTACAAATCTACATTTTTTTTCCTCTAAAATCAAAATTTTCTTAGCACTTGTCTGGAGTTAGTCTGAATACATTTTAAAGCTCACAATCTGCCTAAGGATTCACCAGGGTTTAGATTTGGCATATTTTGTCCACACGATGGCGGTCTTAGACTATAAAAAAGGTTTTGTGGCGTGTCTAGAGCTTGTACAAGCCAGTGACATTTTTGTTGTTGACTGAATAAGCTATATTTTGATACGTGATCCTATACCCCCCGTTATGGTTTCATAACAGGGAAAGACACTTCATTCACCATTTTTAATGTAGGCCTATGAATACATGTAATTGGACAAGCTGTAGATGCTGTGGATTTTGTGAGACTGAATTGACAGTAAAAACACATCAACTTGTAAAGGGACCACAGAAGAGAGCTGTCCTAACCTTTGATCTTGATACGATGCATATAGGCCTAACACCTGCCTTGATCAAATATAAAATTCCTTATAATCATTACATTTAGCTTTGTTTAGTTGCCCTATTACATTTCATTACCATCCATTGTTCTCTCCCTAGCTCTCTGCAGACTCTCCTCACGCTCATTAATTAATTCCTAATGGCCATTAAGGTTGGCGTGGGTCGAGCCCTTGATGAATTTAGTCTGCCTTGAGTCCTTGTGGATATTATCTCTGTCAGAAGGAGACACAGCAGCAGCAGCTCTGTGCATGGTGAGTCTATATGTGTGTTCTACCTGTGTGCTCAACCACTGAACTAAGAACACACAGGTTATCACAAGGTCACCACCTCTCCCACAGTGCATGTGTGAGACACTGTGGTGTGGTGGCAGCAAGAGGAAGGAAGTCTAATTAGAGCATTAATTAAGAAGCAAACGACTTATTGAATACATCCTATGTGGTCATTAGCACAGTCCACAGTGAATATGTCTGTTTGGTCTAGTTTTCACTAATTAGAAACATAGTTTAAATTTAACTGAAGAAATTCAGAAAAATAGCTGGTTCCAACTTTGTCTGTGCGCAGGGTTTTGTTGTGTCCTTGAGCAAAACACTAAAATGTTACAAAAGGAATATTGTTCGGTGAAGTATGAAAGTTATTGTACAAAGCTATATTTATTCTTGCCTTTTAGTGTCAGTCTGATTGTTGCACTTGATATTTCACTAACTCTTTCAAACAAGTATAACCTGACATCACTACATCTTTTTATAAACACTTTTCTCACTGCATTGATCGATATAGATTATCATTTCAGTTTTAAAACAACTGAACTATTGAACATCTAAATTATTAAAAGATGTCTTTCAATATTAATTTTCCTGAACATAAGGCACAGAAAGAAAAAAAAAAACAAATCCGATCACCACAGGCACCACTGATGGCTTCACCTTCCAGGCCTTCTCCAGCTCTTCCTTGAGGCCCTGGTATTTCTCTAATTTCTCATGTTCCATCGTGTAGTAATTGCGATGTCCACCACCACGGTTCTGCTCTGTCGCTTATCCACCACCACTAGTGTCTGTTGGTTCGCCATCACCATCCTGTCAGTCTGTATCTAGAAGTCCCACAGGATCTTGGCTTGATCGTTCTCCACAACTTTTTACAGATGTTTCGCACCTTGATCTTGGGGTCTCCAGCCCATACTCTGCACATATGTTTTTGTACACTATGCCCACCACTTGGTTATGTCGCTCCATGTATGCATCTTACATACATATATGTAGCATTTATGTGCTAGACTGTCTCAGGAGCCTCTTTGCACAGTCAACACCGTGGGTCTTGTCTGGTGTGGTAGATCTGGGCCTCTATTGCTCAAGAACCAAGCATATCATGACTCATCTCATTCTCTATTCAAATTCAATTAATTGTACCTCATATAGTACTAAAATGCCTCTCTATAGTACTTCACCAAATGTTGGAACCCTCTCATGTACAGTGTGTGTATTGTATTGCAGTGTATCATGTTCTCGTGGTACAAAGCTGCACCTCTGCCCTGCTAATCCTGTCGGCCTGGCCAGCTCTCTGTCTTCTCCTCCATCTATCTGTGCTCTTATCTCTGCATCTCTCATCAGGTCATCATCTCTACTGTTACTTTACACACACACGCACGCACTCTGATACAGCTGTCCTTCATAATAGGGTCAAAATTACTTCATGCAGGCTATATGGGACTCTTTAGGAAGCTGGTGATGTTCAAAATGAAGTTACAGAGATCCAAAGTTGGAGTAGTACTGATCAAATGGTTAGTGATAAATGTTTAATTATATCTTCCAATCAACTTTTCAGTGTTGGGTGCCTCTGTGTGTCCCTATGAGTCAGCCTGTCATCTGTGGATCCTGATAGCATCATGTTATCTTCCTCACAAATTAAAACTGCAACAGCCCTATGCCCTTCACTCACACCTCTGCTCAGTGTGTGCGTGTGCATGGAGGTCATGATGTTTTGCTTTTGTCTTCAAACTAAACTAAGTCAATTTAGTCTGAAGGCTTTTTGTGAGGTTTAATGCATCTTTGGTGGTAGTTTCCACTTTAAGGTCCAATAAAATGGATTCTTGTGGACTTTAAAACATACATCTAGTCATGTTTTGTTTCATTCACACTTGTCTGAGTAATCCTTCAGAAAAGGCTTTGATCCATCTTGTGATGTCACAAAGTGGTAGTTTTCAAGTTCACAGCTACCTTTTACCCACTTTGAATTACTTTGTGGAATTACGACTTGCGAATTGTGCTACAAATAAACTTACCCTGCTTTGCCTACCTTTTGTTCAGTAGACCCATCTAGAAGATGGACAATTCCAAGATTAGAATCATCCAGATTATTCTAGTGAATGTGTATGAGTTTAAAAACACAGAGGAGCACTTGCTGTATTACCACATGACAAAGCTGTAATGTTTTTGATGAGGAAACAACATTATAACATAAAAAAAATAATAAAATAAAATAAAATAAAAAATTGCAGAAAACAGTAATATGAGCCAACAATGCACACTATGTGAATTTCTAATAAAGTACATTTTTGGGAGACTGTCTTTAAATATATAGTCAATGATACAACACATTAGGTTTATAATTGCTTAAAGGCACTAAGGTACTACTACAGTGGAATTGAATACTTAAACTTATTGACTGTATTCACAAATTATTGTCCATGTTACTTTATGATGATGTATATTAAAAGATTGTATATATTTGAAATAAAAGATTTCAAATAAAATGTAATAGACAGAAATCAGAGATGGAATTGAACCAGCAACCTGATTTATAGGCATGCTTACCATTGGGCTACTGGTTATGCTTTGATTCTTTTTGCCCAAGAATTATATAACTTGTTTCTTATATTCCTATTGGTAACTGTTCATGTTTGACAGTGCTAATCTTATAAGAGCATCACTGAACAATAATAGCTAATATTAAAATCATTTAATCTGCAGGGTTAGGTCAATGCAGCATTAGTGAGTTCAAATACCACCAGTGCAGTATTGATCCGTTTAGAAAATATGTAATCACTCCAACTGTGCCGGCCCACCTCATAATCTGAACAATCTCACTTCTATAGACTTCACCAACTTGAATAAACATACAGCAAATGAACAGACATCCATATCCCAGTCAGTCAATCAAGTGTGGATTCTCCATCATCACTAAGACCTTGGCATTGCCAGATTTCCATCCAGTTATTACTGGTTATTACCGCCGATGAAAATATAAAAACCCAAGCGTTGATTTACCCTCCACGGCAGCATCTGCACAGCTCAGCTCATTTCAATCACAAACGGCAGCATCTTGATTTACAACAGCCACTGTTTTAATAGAGCTAGCCATGGTCAAATTTAAACTAGCCCAATTAATCAACTAAACATTCGATATCTCCCATTCAGCAGGCCCCCACGCCTTCTCAATATGAATTTTCCAGGAGATTTCTTTATTGATCGACAGACAGATGATTTGTGAGATACATTGTGCAGGCGGATCAATAGATGACCAGTCAATAGCTCATAGGGAGAAATGAACTGTGGTGACATGAAGGCCACAAAGTCAAGTCTGCAGAGTCACACTCGCTTGTTTAGAAATGAAGACGGATGTGTGTGCAGTTCACTCCTGGTTCAGGGAATAGAACCGACAACTTCTCCATGCAAACCAGAGTGGAACATGCAAGCAATAGGCAGAATCATTGCTGTGTGAAACCAGGGGTGTACATTGCTTTTTTAAAAGGGGTTACACTTTGTTGCGTCAACCTCTACTACACAAGTCTTCAGGGAACAGAGGTAGAGGTAGTTTATTTTTATTACCATTGCACAGCTATGGTTTGATCTCTTTGCTGTTTGTGAAAAGTGAAGTTAGTTTGTGTCAAGATGTCTGTCAAGCAGAATAACATAAATTATTGTTATTATAAATTAATTCCACATTTTGAGAAAATAAGACAACAGAGCTCAACAGTTGGAACAGTGGGATTTTCTGGTTCCAGGAGTAAAAGTCCCATTCAGTTTTCACATAAACTAAAATAAAACTGATATTGACTACTGCAGTAACTACGACCATATCACGTTAAATTTCATATTTTTAATTTAAAAAATTAATCTGTACATAAACACATAATATATTAATCAATCTACTGAAATAATTTGAACTTCAAAATACAGCATATTCTATTAAACATTAGATCATCCAATAATAATCAAATATAATTTTGAAATAAAACTGTTACTCTAATTAGTCCCCTTTATGCTTTTAAACTTTTAACTTA